ACTGGTTGTTACAACAGGCTCAGCAAGGTAAAATCAAAAAGGCAGCAGAAAGAGTGGACTGGGAAGACTCCCTAGTGGTGGTGACCTGCAGTGTCTGTGCAGAGTTTGCTTTCTTGCCGGAGGGCAACATGACCTACACATGCAACAAGTGCCCTGTGTAGTCGCCCTGTCAGGAGAAAAGGAGAGAACACTAGAGCAGTGAGTGTCCACCCTCAAGGCAATTAAAGAAGACGAAGTGGTTTTAGACAGAGTGGTAGAACTGTGACAGCTAAGAGCAGTACAGAAGCGAGAAAGGTACCAGCAAGCTGAGGCAGAAGAGGGGAATCCTGAGGGAAGGGGAAATGAGGAGGAAACTCCCTGGAAAAGAGTGACAGGTGCAGAAGCACTAGCAGGCACCCTGCACCAGTGGAAGCAGCAGAACTATCAAACTGCTTGCAGTTACTCAAGGATGAGACTGGAGGGCAACCTGCTGTGGAAGAACTGCAAGGCGTCCTGGGCAACACTGAACAAGAGGCAAAAGGTCAATCAAGCAGCTGCAATGATGCCAAGGCTTACAAAAACAAGAAGAAAGGAATTTTAGTTGTGGGAGACTCCCTCTTGTGTGGGATGGAAACACATGTATGTCAGGAGGACCTGTAGACTCATCTGGTATGCTGTCTCCCTGCAGGGCAGATTAATGATATAACTGAAAGAGTACCAAGGCTCATATAACCCACTGGTACATATCCCTTCCTCCTTATACATGTGAAAACAAATGACACTGCCAAGCAGAGCTTTGAAGAAATCTCACCAGACTTTGAAGCTTTAGGGAGGAAAGTCAAGAACTTTGGAGCCAAGACAGTTTTCTCTTCAATCCTTCCAATTCTTGGAAGATGAAAAGACAGGGAAAGAAAAATAGTTCAAGCGAATGCCTGGCTACAAAGGTGGTACCAACCTGAGAGATTCGGATTCTGGGACCATGGGTCACAATTCCTGGAAGATGGACTGCTGGCAAGGGATGGGTAGCACCTTACAAGGAAAGGAAAGAATGTGTTTGGCCACAGGAGGGATTTAAACTGAATCCCACAGTGCAGGGAAAAGTACACCTGGGCATAACAAAGGCTTATACACCGCAATTCAAAGAGCAGCTCTAAAAGTGCCCAATAACACAGTCTTCCAAAAAATGTAGGAAGAAAACTAGAGTATAAAGCATGTGGTTTTTGATGTCTATAAACTAATGCCCAGAGCATGGGAAACAAACAGCATGGACTTGAACTCTTAATACAGGAGGATGAATATGACCTGACACATATAACTGAAACTTGGTGGGATGACTCCCATTATTGCAATTCAACAAGAACACAGAAAAAATAGAAAGGGAGGTGGAATTACACTATATGTTAAAGATACATATCTTTGCACAGAAATACAAGAGGATGAGCTTAGCAGACCCACTGAGAGCATCTAGATTAATATAAATGCAAGGAATAAAAGGAACATAGTGGTTGGAGTCCATTACTATAGCACTCTACAAATATCTGAAAGGCTGTCACAAAGGAGAAGGACAGGATCTCTTCTCATACATTCCAGAGTGCAGGACACAGAATAATGGACTTAAGTTTAAAGAAACCAGATTTAGATTTAGACTAGACACCAAGAAGAATGTCCTGACTGTCAGAGTAGTACAACAATGGAACCAATTACCCCAAGAGGTTGTGGCTTCTCCTACACGAGAGGCATTCAAGATGCAACTGGAGAGCTATCTGAGAAGGATGATTTAAGGTGGTGTCCTGCACGGAGCAGGGGCTTGGACCTGAACGCCCTCTGGCCCCTTCCAACTCTGTTCTATGCTTCTATGAAATAGATACAGACTTTACAGTTGGCTACTTGGAAATAAAGCTTGGTTAGTAAATTCAGTCACAGGTTGTGGATCTATGGGATTCTTAATTCTCTAAACAAGATCCCTATTCCAAGTAGTGTTTGTTGCCTAAAAATTTAGAAGATTCAGTGCTACAGATATAAATACACATGATTCAACTAGCAGATATGCTAACATACTTAGTAATACCATACTACTGAAAAGCACTTTCTGCTAGGTGGTTTGTATAAGTGCACGTGTTTTGAAAAATAACTGTCATCTGTATATTAGTATGGATGGATGACCCAGGCATATGGAAGAGAGGAAAAGCACTAAGACTTCAAAATAAGAAGTAAAAGGGTATATGCAACATAAGGGTATAAGCAAAGTCCTTAGGAAACAAATCTGTCAGGAGACATTACTGCATTTATGCTACCATAAATGGTACTATGGAATAGAGCCTTGTGTAATGACCTATCCATGATGGTTGGCCTCCTACAACTGTCATGAATTATTAGAGCAGAGCCCAAAACAGGAGATTCTTTATGCAAAATACCATTGTGCTTTTTATCCTTTCCAATCTGTTCTATTTTTCTCTTCATTATTAAGGTTTCTAGTCCTTTATTTCAAGCTTTTTGGAATCAATAGTTTGGCTTATATTTCTATTTTTGATGATAAACAGATTTCCCCAGCACTCTCACCCCACATTCAGGGATCTTTTGGCCCCCTTTAAGCAATAATGTTCTGTTACAAACCTCTCCACAGCCCCCATCTTCCTTTTAAGAAGCAATATCATTTAACTTGTACATCATGATTTTAAAACAAGCAATGGTATCAAAGCAGCAGGTTATGAAGACTACAAACACTGATGTATGCTTGCAGAATAGGTATTTTTTTCCTCTTCCTTTTTGTTCCAAAAGTATATATTAATGGACAATTGCTGAACTGTAATATACTTTATGAATTCTAATTCCAACAATATGGGAAATGTCAGGTAAGGAAATCTCTCAATCCCTGCTTGCAGTAATTTAGAGATTGTATAAGAAAACCACTAAATTAAATCACAGGTACAGAGGTATACAAGAATGTGACAACAGAAGATTGCATCAGGATTCTCAGTAAAATGTTGATTAATATATAGACAAGAGAGTCCTTTCCTTGCTTTGGGGGCACCTACACAAAGTAGGAAACAATATATTGTTACTAGTCTTTTTTGTTTGTTTGGTGGTGATACCATTTCTCCACAATTTACATTAGCACACCTTATGCTAAGGAAATCTTTTATTGTTTTGATAGTTTCTCCATATGGCTGCTCCTTTTTAGATTCATATATTTTCTGGGAAAATGACTTATGTTTATTTTGCCTTATAATCGAGTCCAACTTTATACTGAACTTTCACTGAATAAGTGAATAGCACTGCAGAATTAGGAATGGGTAAACTTGATCAAGATTGCACATACCAAGGAAGATAAATTTGTTTTGTTATAGGTAGGTGTTTATTTACACACCATAATAAAAAAGAAAACACAATGTCTGCAACAAGAGAAGTATTTATGAAAAATGAAGGCAACAGGTATCATGAAAACTAGTTACCCAAGAAAATAAAACACCCTCCTCATTTCGATCAGACTTCTTCTCCTGGAGTAGAACCTGAACACAGCATCATTACAGGATGAGTGTACTCCAAATGGCCCCTTAGTGAAAGAGCCCAATTCAAAGTCTTCAGGAGAATGGCCTGCATCTTGTGTTCTTTTGTCACGGCAGATGTTTGGTCATCACCTTTCCCATTAGCTGCCATTCCTTGCTTGCAACTGATGTTTGATGTTGAATGAACTTGTCCTATATCCTAAAAAGAAAAATAAACCTCCCTCCTCTACATTTATATGTTGCAGGCACACAGAATATGATTTCTGTTGTTTGAGGCTGAGCCAAGGTGATATTACTCTTCAACTTGATGTCTTACACCCTTTCAGAACATTTTGATCTCACTTAACTAAAGCTTAAACCCTAGATGAACAGAATTTGTTGCAAGAACTCATTTTTAGAACCTTTAACAAAAAGTTTTATTCTTATTTCCCTTAAATTCAGAAGGAATTTTTCAGCTAAGAGTAGTGTTACTGGTTTTGAACCCTTCTCACCCTCTTGTGAATTCATACTATGGTACCTAGAAGAAAATTTATCTGGGGGTGGGATTATGGGTTGCATCCAGTGGTCTCATTGCGCAATTGGAAGCCAAGTTCCAAAGTACGTGCAAGGGGAATCCAACTAAAGTTCTACCTCCACAACTACTTGCAGTGGTCTGCCAGCACTTGTATAATAGAAGGGCAGTCAAATTCCACTAATTCAGTAACTTTTTCTACTAATGGTATATTAGATTTGAGTTATTGGAAGGAAAATTGCCAAGATATACATTTACAGCTGAGCCTTAACAAGAGTAATTTGGACACCTTCAGAAAGGTTTCAGTGGTCACCCACCAGTGCCATTAAAGCCTCTTTTCTTCTTCAAAACCTCAGAAGGGCATCTGCACTTAGAACCGGATGAATGTCCTATCAGGGTAGAATTTACTTGCAGAAAATGACATATGAACACAGGATAGGTTAAAACATTACGTTTTCTTTAAAGGATTTTCACACTTAGGAAAGATACCCTAATGGCATGGTTCTTCATTCCTTCTCTTGCCCCTAAAACTGTTGTCCAGGGCTGCATCATTACACATGTCTAAAGTCTTACAACACTGAATACTAAAACCAGATAAGCAAGTCAGACAGCCAAATGTATGTGACTACATTTGCCTATCATAAAATATTTAACCTGCCAAGAATCAGCTGCTCTCAGCTGGTACAGTTAAAAGTTGATTAATTAACAGTGGGATGAGAGGTCACAGTTTCAGTGTTGTTATGCTTAATTGTATAAAATAGGAAGGTCTGAAGTTCTTAAAAGGCAACTTTTAAAATGCATTCAGCCTTTTAAGAACTCCAGAACAAGATTATAGGAGGCTCAAAAACCAATATAGAATTGCTAAGCCTGAGCTCTTATAGAACTGCCAAAGCAATCTCAAATACTGTATAGAGACTAGGTTGAAAGTGTTTGCTTCTGGAATGGACTGAAATGAAATGGAATAAAAAGAAGAGAGTTGGACATTTTAAAAGGTTGTACCATACCTGGATCAATCTGTCTGCCAAGGCAGCACTCTCCTATAGATCCAGAAGAGGAAATCCAGACAAGGAAGGAAAGATGAAGAAAAGAGAAAAGATAGCAAGGTCACACAAGCAACTCTACCTATAGCTAGAAGCACAGAAGAAAAAGACAGAAGATCCCAACAGAGCCCAAGAATAGAACTTCCATTCCAGAACAGTCCCAAAGTTGTATTATGTCATTTCCCTTTGCACAGCAAGCAAAGCAGTTTGCACCATCTACAAAGAATGACAAACAGATGTGGATTTCCTGAAGTATACCCTGTCATTTGCCTACAGCAGCCAAAAATATAATTGTTCAGTAGAACAGTGGAAGAGACTTTTGTACTTGAGATGTTACATTTGTATTATCTGGAGATGGAGGCTATATGCATGCAGATCTCCAGTTAGCAGACCCCTACAGTAAGTGCCTCTGGACACCTAAGAGAACCACCAAGCCATCATCCACTTGTCCCCCTCTTCACAGTACAAAATGGGGCTAAGGATTTCTTATATTTTTCATGTAAACGTTTAATTTTTAGCACAAAAACAAGTTGTATGGCAAAACATTGCTGAAAAATAGCTTTAAGATGCAATTCTTGCACAATCAAATCACTCAGGATAGAATAATGGCTTCATACCCAGCAAGTGCCAGTAATTTCAGTTCAAGTTACCATGTTGACTGAAGTTTTGGTGGGTAGACACTAAGTTGTGTTTGCAGCTGTGGCAGATTACTTTCTCCATCTTAAGGAGTTCAGACATTTGTGTTTCACTTTGCCATTACCAGCAGTGATAGGGTGAGGCAGCCAAGTAGTTCTGCTCTGAGAACATATATTCCCTACAAGTTACTCCAGAGATGAATATCCACATCAGTCCCTGTGAAGATGCACAGCTGAGACTAATGGTTGGCAGTGGCACTCTGAGTAGTATCTATAGTCAACTGGGACAGACAGCTATTTAAAGACTCATTTTTGGTGGCCATACTAGTCTGGAAGCGGAGGAGGCGGATTCTCACACGGCTAGGTACACTCCTCACCTTTTCCAGGGTTTCAATTCGCTGTTTCAAAAGGCGGTTCTCAGTACGGAGCCTCTGCAAGCAAAAGCAAAATCAGCATGTGTTCTAATTCGAAAGCATGTGTTTTTGCTAAGTGATAGCCAACACAGAGAACTATGCTAACATCCTGAACAAGCTAGAGCCATCTATATAACCAGCTGCGTGAGTAGCCAAGAACACAAAAATTTCACCACACCCACACATGCACATAGTTAGACCTACAGTTTAGAAAGAGGAAATTCTTCTTTCTATATTACACTGTATCCCACACAGATCCTGGGAGAAATATTTCACATGGCACTTTTTATACAGCAAAGGACATTAAGTTGTCTAAGTTTTTAAAGACTATATCCTTACTTAAAATAAAAGGAAAAACTACCACACCAGGCAGAGCTGCAAAAGTATGATGAGAGAAAGACATACTCTCTGCAAACTAAGAATTGGTCAATAAGGACCACCATTCAGGTAACCGCATTTTGAGGTCTCTGGAGAACACAGGCAATAAGCTCTTGGGAAACAAGGCACTGGGAATTCCCACAATGTTATATCGTTGCAATACATATAAGACAAACCCAAGAATGTATGAGAGAGGGTTTACCTTGATTTCAATCTGCTCTTCCATTTCTCTGTTTTTTATTGCAGTGTACTCCTTCTCCAACCTGTAAGATAAGTAGAATGTAGTTCACCTTGCTTTCTTCTTACATAATATTCAAGTTCCGATCATATTATGAGGGATAAATGTGACTTGAGAGTTGCGGATCTGTGCATTTAAACCACAGCCTGTTTCAATCACAAAGCAAGTGGCAAGTTGGCCTTACAATTTATGGACTATATTGTGTGCGTGGAAGAGATGGCCAAATCCAAATCCTTTTTATACTTGTCACTTACCTGCAGCTCCTTCCTCTAGGCTAGTAGGGTCCAAGGTCAGGGAGAACAGGACTTGTAAACAACAGCATCTGAAGGGTCATGGTTTCCCTACCCTAGGCAGTTCTCCCTCAGCTAGGATAATTTCCAGTACTATAACTTAGGTGATGAAGTACAGGGAGGTAAGTAGTCAGTAGGGTCAAAATTTAGCTCCCTTCAACAGCAAACCTTTTCTACTCCATGTGGTTTGACTAGACAGTTTCATTCAGTTTGGCTCTTAGAAAAATAAAGGCATAGAAGGGCTAATGCCATCAGTGCTTACACCAATGAACCCCAAAGTCTTTCTAAATATGCTTCATTACTAAGTCATACAATATAATTATTTAATTAATTTCTCTATCACCAAAGCTCTCTGGATGGTATAATCTTCATCCAGGTTCTGGTGGAGCACTGGAAACCAGTAAAGAAGAGGAAATCAATTCTCTACCAGCAGCATCTGATGAACAAATCTGGGCTCCAGCCCTCACATACTGGCTGTTTTCCAAGCTTAGGAAAGCAAACTTGGAGAGGAGAATAAAAGGGAGATGGTGGGGAAGAGACTGAAGAGGTCCAGGGTGTTAGCTATCTTTATAGCTCTCCAGCATCCTTCCCTCCCATTCTGAAATGCTCCAACTAGATAGAAAAAAAGCATGTTTAGCAAAAATGCAAGGCAGGAAACAGGGAACCAACTCATCCCACTCGACTTGATGACAATAGGCCTCCAAGTTCAAAGGTGTACAGGCATCACAACACTGCACCTTTAGTTTTTTAACAAGTTGGATTTCAGTGCTTATGGCAGACCTATAAAACTAGCAGCCCTCTGCGAGCCAAATCCAGACTTCGGGTTTTCCTCAGATGGCCACATCCCATCCTCTTTCTCTCCAGCACCAATCATTGGGTGATTTCCCAATTTTTGCACTGTCCTTTCACCATGGTTCCTGGTTATTAGCAGAATTGCATTTTTAAAATGTGGCATAATGCAAACTTTTTAAAAGGTCACCAAGTCTGATTTAACTTTTTTTTACATGTGCTAGTTAAGAATTCTTCTCATTTTCCAGTAACATTTTTTCTCCTCACCATCCTTAAAGGAACCATTGATTATACAACCAACATTATTGTAATGGACTAAGGGAAGGAAGAAGTGTTTATATTTGATTTGGTGAATTTACTTAAGTTGTGTTTTAATTATATCATGTATAATTGTAATACTAAAATTAACAAAATATACATGGAAAGAGCATGTGCAAGACTGATGTAATTCTAGCCATCAGGTTTTATGGATGTGCCTCCTTCAAGTTATAAAAGATTGTGTTTAGTCCCAAGAAAATTCCATCCAATTTCAAAGACTTCCCAGAAAACCCTTCATGACTTTTTAAAGAAAGTGCAGCAAAACACAAACAGTCAGCTGATCCACCCCATCAACTTTGCCTAGGCTTTGTGTTGTCCAGCCATTTAGGTTATACATAAGAAAGTGATGCTAAAAACTTACCGTTTCATTTTCTTGGGATTGTACTTGACCTGGTAGGCCTTCAAGATCAGCTTATCAGGACAGCTGTCAAACTGATGAGGAATCACCTTCTGGAAATACTGGAACACAACACACAAGTCAGTTGGATCTACATCCCTCCCATCAATAAACCTGCTCCTTAAATCCTGCCTCAATGAAACTGCTCTTCCTGACTAGCGTAGGGGGAAAGTGAGTACGGATGTGGCCAGTCTTTGGAATACTTATAAGAATTTTGCCACAAGTTTTGATCACTTGAATTTTACTTCCCAATAATGACACAGTCTAGTATTATAGTTCGGTGGCCACTGGAAAGGAAGGGAGTAGAGAAAACACTACTGACCAAATTCATTATAGCTCATTAAAACATTCCAGAAGCTTAACTCTTTCCCATAATGAAAATGCATGTATGTGCACACACAGAAAGTGGAACAGGGTGCTTTTTACTAGCCTATTATCTTAAGTAATTGGTATAAGATGCTTCTAAACTGAACTGTGGCAGTATCTCCTATCACACTGAGTCCTGGGATGAAATTTATCTTGGCTCTGTACCCACCCTGGTTCTCTCAAACTTCAAGTAGGAATGTTTAATGCTTGAGTTATGCAAGCCAAACTGAACTGACTACATCTTATCCTAATTCTTCATATCTGCTAGTATTACTCTGCTAAGGTGAGGGAACATTTTTCTTCAGTCAACTTATCTTGTTATATGATAACGTATTCAAAAAGCAAATGAAAGCAATTGTGGTATCAAGTGGGGGAGATACTCAGTAAAATATTAAGTTTGCTCAAAGTATCCCACACTGTGCGAAAGTTGGGCTTACCTACAGCATAGATTAAATCTGATATAGGCAGGAAGATTCAATTCAGGAGTTAAAGTGTTGTGTGGCACAAATTCTACAATGAAAATATCAACATTGGGAGAGCTACTGTTTATTGAAAGTATTTTTGCCCCACTCCTCAGGCAAAAAAGGCCACCTTAGCTTACATAAAGAATAAGCAGGCAATATACGTGTTTTATAAAACACCTATGATATCTACCGCCAGTGGACAAAGTTGAATCTGCCTTGAAGTTACAGTGCAACTTTAAAGCCAAGGTCATCAATGTGATGCTCAGGGATACCACTGTGCTTGTGAATACCTCTTGGCACTCACTAGGCCCCTGCCTCTAGACTTGAAGCATACCTACTTATCCCAAAAGCTTAGGGATCTTTATAAGGCAAAACAATATTCTTTGCACAGGTGCTGAAGGATCAAAAACACGACAAACAGTTTTGCAAGTTATGACTTGGGTGAATAGCAATTTCCAGGTAAGCAAGCAAGTGCAATACACCAGCCTACCTCTCCTATGTCACTTCCAACAACTATCCCTTCCCAAACCTACTCTAGTAGTTGCACTGTTTCACTTCATCTCAAACTCCCATCTCTTCTCTCCATCTCAAAAACAGAAATACTCAAGGCACTTCCAAATTCCCATTACTTTTTACTCTAGAGCTACTGTAGGAGAGCAGGTACAGAACAACAAACATGTCTGAATAAGCAGTATGTAAGTAAGATCCTATAACCTTCACTACACTCTCATTCTCCCATCCCCCTGAATATTTCAAGTTTAGCTACTTCAATACCAAAACAAGTTTCTGCCTGAGGATCATATAGCAAGTTATTGTCGGACAATACTTTCCACTTAAAAGACATTTTCAATCAGACAAAGCATCAATCTAGACCACCAATCAGTTCCCTGTCTGAGCAGTGGCCCACCAACAGTGGAGGAAGCCTTTTCCCTTCCCCTGGTGGTACCTGTATTTAGGAACATCTACAAAGTCAACTTCTAGTCCCATAACGCACTGTAAAGCTGACCTGTGACATCCCCTCCATGTCCAGTTGAATCAGTTCGGCCTGGTTGAATTGCAGAAGAGCCATTCCTACACGGAAGATTATTTCCAGTCCCTATAAGAAGCCAGCAGAATTTAAATGGACTTCAGCTCAAGTGGAGTTTTCCATGGATTGGAGTAACTGTCAGAGCAGCCACTTCCTATGTGGATGAGATGTAAATGAGGTTAGAAGACACCTAGCTACTTCCCCCCCTGCACACACCAAGTTACCTTCTTTCCCCCAACAAAGTCACCTGTGCATATCACGCAGTGAGCATCTGGTTCATCTGTTGTCAAGTTATAACAAGAAGTCAGAATTAAACATGATGGAGCAAGTTGTTGCAACTGGCACATTGATGCTAGCATATTTGCAGAAGCAAGTATCATTACAGCTTTCTAGATGTATCTTAAATCGCTTTCAAAGAGAATCAGATAATTTTGTAGAGGATAAAGTTAGCAATGGGAACTAGTCATGATGACTATATGCTCTCTCTAGGATCATGCTTTGGAACACCAGTCACTAGAATAAAAGAGGAACGGAGTACTATTACCCTCATGACTTGTTTTTCTATGCCAGTTTTAATTAGCATTTTGCTGCAAACCACTAAACTAGCAGGGTAGAGGAGATGGGCATGTGTGACAGAAACTTCTCAGAATCTGTTCTTCATGTGCAACTTCTAGTAGCAGTCTTCATTATTGCCGGGATAGAGGCCAGTTGCCAACAATAGACAGAGACTCCAAGAGAAACAAATGCATTTGCATACTTGTGAAAGTCTTACTTTATGCTCTCTGCTGTATACCATACAACAGCATGCAATGGTGGTGTTTTAAAATAGCACCAATAGTCCCTTGATACTTGCAAATTTGTTGTGTTAGGCCACACTGCATGTATAAGGTTGCATGTTGCATTAGGCCATGCTCCCATCACTTCTCTTCCTTTCTTTCTGCCAGTCTATGCCCTGAACCCTCCAATTTTAGTATCAAACATTTACCTCATACATGAAGATGTCAAACACTCGAGTGGCCACAGGCAGAGGAAAGGTGGTGAGGAAGAGGGTGAGAAACCAGGATGATGCATACATAGATGTAAGGAAGCTTTGGGAGCGGAAGTGGATATTCAGTTCAGGTAGTTGTTCCTGAAGAGACACAAAACACAACTCTTAATCATGAGAAATTCCAGCCTGCCTCTATCATCATAGTTGGACTATGGACAATGGATTCTCGAAGACAATGCTTCTTCATATCCCTAACTCTAATCATACTGGGAGCTTTTGTGGGGGAAGGGGCTAGCAGCAAGCACCCCAGTTACTCCCCAGAGCAATAAACTCTTTTACTCAAAACTCCCACAGGATCTGCAGGAGGCAAGTTGGAAAGGAGCAATTCACAAGATTGGTAGCTTCTTTAGGCAAGCCAGATGCACTTTTTTACCTGCAGCATATACTCAAATTGGTATATGCAGAGTCCTAGCTCAGCCATAGTGGGTTTGAACAGCTCCCGTAACCTGTATTCTTGCATCAGCCGTACAAACACACAGAACGCCTCTTCTTCAGGCATCTAAAATCAAACAAGACACTTGCATAAACTTTTCCAAAGCCCACTAAAAGGGAAAAGCAGAGTGCTTTTATACTGACATACAAAACCTGAAGATACATTATGCTAATGTCACATAATGTCAGTAATCTTTTCTCTTAATCAGATATTCTCATTTCAAGTTGACATCTGTTTCTCTCATTAACATGAATTTAAAATAATAGGGACTTAAGATTACAGATTAAGTCTGTTAAGATTACATGAGTTTGTTGTCAGCAAATTTGATGAAAATGTTGCCATTCTTGTACTGATGCCATTAGTACAACACAATGGTCAGATCCACATCCAACAAGTAGGGGTTTAAAAAAAACCCTGGCTTGTTAGGAACAGAGGGAGCAATTAAGCAACCCTGCAATGGTCTGACTCTGGGCTGTTCTGCTTGACATCTAATACCAGATTCTGACATGTCTTCCCCAAAAAAGCAAAGCTGAAACCTACCGCCTAGAGCAACCAAATGGGAGCATTCAAAGCCACAGCAAATAGCATGCTCACTCTAAAAAAAATTTTTTTTACTGCACGTGAAGTATTGATTACTGGTATTAAACAGGTGCCCTAAAAATCTGGTTTCCAGCCCATACACAAGTTCTCTCATTCCAAAGGGATGCAGCTGAATAATAAGTTTGTATACTGTGATAATAATTCAGTTTACATTTCTCTCACTTGGGCTGGAAAAAAGCCTTACTGTAATGGGCTAAATATTTCAAGTTTCCTAGCCACTAGCATCAAATAACTAGTTGCGTGGAATTTTTCTAGTCCTGCCTCGGGTTAAAATACTTTAAGAAGCACTAAAAGCTGTGGACATATTGTCAGAGCTGGAGTATAACAGAAAGCTTCCTCCTTCTGAAACAGCTACTGTAATAAAGTGGTCCATTTTTGTTAATCTTTGCATTTAACCAATCCACACTGATATGAAGGTTCAAGCAAATAAATTACAGCTTACTTTTTCACTATAGTATTTTGTAAGATAGTGAACTGGTCTAGAAATTTCCAAGTAATGATGAGCACATCAGGTTCTGGGAAGTCTTCTAACCTGATGTTACACCAACCTGCATGAGGAGGAGTCCCACGATGAATGCGCTGCCCTGGCAATATCCAACCTCACGGTCTACCAGAGAATAAGCCTGAAAAAGATAGAAACTTCATAAGCAGTATGCCTAACTCAACCTGAAGAGAACTCAACAGCTTTGATGAGTTGAAGTAGCATTAGAAGCACACACTTATGAAGCAATGTTTTGAAACCCGGAAGCATTTGCTCAATCATCTGTGAGCCACACAATTTTGATTCCTTACGCTAAACACTGCAAATAGCAGCAGTAAAAGAGGCACAAGCCTAGAATTAAGCCATGCTGGGCATTTGACACAACACTGTCAGGAGGAGGGTTGAGAAGGCAAATGTTCATCCACTGATCTCCCTTTTTTACAATAAAGGATTGATTCAGAGAATATTGCATCTTCACCCTTCTTTGCCAAGAAAACAATGAAACCAAGGATAATAAGGAACAGTAATGCCTTGTTGGGCAAAAGCAGGGTTGACTGAAGAGGAATTCAAATCTCACATAATTTGAGGGCTGCGAGAGAGGTTGTGTGTTTCTAGAATAGAAGCACCAAGAAGAAAGGCAGCTTCAAGAAAGCTGGTATAATTAATGAGGTACCTAGAAGCACAATTTTATAGGGATTAGCTGCAGTTTTTACCAATTTCTTACATGCTGCCTGCATTTTATCTTGGAAGACTGGTAATTTCCAGACTGAATTGGCCTGATTATACTATCTATTAATTTTTCTCTTTGTAAAGCAGGTTAAGCATTTGTCTTCTGACACAGCAATTCAACAATCTATTCTTGTGTCTATAAGATAACCTGGGAAAGTCAAACACATCCCAAAGCTACCCAATTTCACTGATCTAATTGGGTTTAATTACATAACATAAAAGAGCAAGAAAGTTTGGTGACTCCTATGCCAGTGGGGCTCCTTATGCATTGCAACCTGTATTTTGTACTTGATAAGAGCTACAGCATTACAATCTAGAATTGAAATGGATTTAATTGTCATTGTAACCACTTGATGTACACAAGAAGCTCAACATTGTAAAGGTACAAAACATTTACTGTGTCACAAAACTTAAGAAAACCTAAACAAACCAACACTTGTTAGTTGCATAAATATTCAACCCGAGTCAATACTTGGTAGAAGCACCTTTGTAGGTATTACAGCTGCAAGTCTTCTTAATTAAGTCTTTATCAGTTTTGCTGATAGACTTATCTGGATCTTTGCCCATTCCTGGCAAAAGTGATCCAGCTCTGCCAAACTGGATGGGACTGCTGGTGAACAACAACTTGCAAATTATACCACAGATTTTTCAATCAGATTGATAGAATGGGTCAGTCAAAAGCCCAGGTAAGACACTCAAGATTTTTTTTTTTAAATCACTCCAGTGTTACGATGGCAGTGTATTTAGGGTCACTGTCCTAGTTTTAGTTCTCTTGCAGAAAAAACAAAACAAAACCAGGCTTTCCTCTAGAATTGCCCTGAATCCTGACCAATTGCTCAGTCCTTGCCCCGGAAAAGTGTCCCTGCAACATGAGGCTGCCACTGCTATGCTCCACCATGGGGCTGGTGTTCTCAGGGCAATGAGCACTGTCAACATTGTGCCACAAGCAGTGTTTGGCAGCAAGGCAAAAAATTCAATTTTGGTCTCATTAGACCAGAGAAACCCTTTCAACAAGTCTGCTGTGCATCACATATGCCTTTTTGCAAACTCCAAATGGTGCTTTGATCTGGTTTTCAGCAATAACTTTCTTCTCACCACTCTTCCATAAAACCCAGCTTTATGAGGGCTTGTCCCATGGAGGCTTTCTCCCATCTCAGCTGCAGATCTATCTAGCTCCTTCAGACTTACCATGGCTTCTTGATTGCTCTCTAATGACCTTTTCACACAGTCACAGAATTTTGATGGACAGCCTTCTCTAAGCAAAGTGACTGTTTTGCTATAGTATTTGTTTTGTAATAATGGATTTAACAGGGCTCCAGCTGATGTTCCTAGTCCAAGATTTATTATTTAAATAATCTAATTCAAATTGGTGCTTCTGAGCAACTTTATCCTGGAATAGTTTGATTGCTCTTGGTTTCAATATCAATTTCTCCATCAAACTCTGTGGCCTTTCAGAAACAGGCATATTTAATCTGAGATCACAGGGCACTGCAATTACATATAGGCAGATGACTTACAGTATGTGACTTCTGGGGCAGAGGGCCTAATTGGACATGTCACAGCAAAGAGGTCAATAGTTATGCAGCCAACAAGTATCAGATTTTGTTTACTTTTGTGCTACAGTAAAAATATTTTGCACCTTTGTAGTGCAAGATCCCATCAGTCCATTGCTATTCATGGTTGTAGCATAAAAAATACCAAAAAGTCAAAGTGAGGGTAGGTGGTTGAATATTTCTGCAAGGCAGCTTATACACGTTAGTGTATCTATTTTGAGGATGTGGTTCAGCTACAGATAGCTCATATAACACTCAAAACCCACAGTGGAACAGATGCTCCACTAACTTAGGAGTCACTAACCACCCCTGAACAAGAGAAACTTGCAGGAGCATCTCAGCCTCAGCTACTTTGTATGCTTGAAAGACCTATCGCTTCCCTCCTGGAGTCCAGAGATTTGGCTTGGCTTAGGAATCAGTTATGCAGATGATACTGTCCCATAGCTTTAATCACAGATGAGTCATTAATGCAGGAAGTACTAGGGAAAATTAAAGTAACAAGGAGGACCTCTTCCACTTCTTTCATTCTCCAAAGTTAGGCATAAAGGGAGGCTGACCCCCTCTCCTCACCTATGTTCTCTGTGTGTATCAGAGGACTTTGCAGAGGACAGTGATCTTCAGCTCCTGCCTGAAACAGCAGTTTCCCACACTGGAAGGTTGCTTTAAAAAATTACACCCAGCATATGTACATTTATTTTATGTGACATTGTAAAACAATGTTGTCATCTATGAAGTTCACACTTGAGAACTGCACAATCGAGTTACCCCACCCCCCAAATTGCAAAAATACCCTCAATGTTTTAAGTAAGTTTACAATTTTATGTGGGGCTGCATTCATAGCCATCCTGGGCCGCATGTGGCCTGTAAGTCACGGGTTGGATACCCCTGCTCTAGAGCAAGGGTTGGGAATCTTTTTCAGTTCAGGGGACCAAATTCCAATCCTAGAAAGGTCTGGGGAATGCCTTACATCTCTAGATACATCCAGAATGTAACTGATATTAAGCCTACTCACAAGTAGGGCAAGCATCTATGGAACAAGTCTCAGCAGCAAGCAAGCCTATATCACTCAACAGCTTCTCCCTGGCCAGCTACTCTCTGCTGCAGGGAACAGCTCTTCTCTCTGAACAGCTGAATGAAGGTAAGAACTTTTCCCTGCTAAGAGAACAGGAGGAACCTGGTAATAAACTGGCAGCCCAAACTAGGAATGCCTTCAGACTATATACTGTCTACAGGTCAGAGCAGAGATAAGACAACCTTGAAAAGCTGGGTTTCGCCTGTTTTTTTCGCTTAAGAAGTATTTTTCCTGAAAAATAGGAAAAATGAACAGTTTTGGATTGTGTAATATTTTCTTTTAGAATTTAAGAAAAGATTTAATATATTTTATTGAGGCTTTACTCCATTTCTCTCATTTCTAAAAGTCATGCATTCAGAGATGTTTATAGAAAGACATAAGAGATGTGAAATGTCTGGAATTTTTTTTTGTGGGGGGAGGGGAGAAAAGGTTTTTTTTAAACCTTCCCAGCATAGCCATTTCTTCCATTCCTTATTAACACTGATATATCTTTTACTGACAGACATTTCTGTTTGCCATAAATCATGTCCAGTTCCAATTACGTTATGACTTGGCTCATATAATATGGAAAAATATATGCATTATTGACAGCTTGGTTTAGTCCTATAGAGTCTGGTATTTCTTGGTTTAATCTCATTAGATGCTGCCATAGCCAATATAGTTCTAAACAAAAACCCACATATGGTGAGGAAAAGATACACACTGTAGGTTATCCCATCATTGTCACCAGTTGCAACAGAACAGAAAGACTAGATTCCTACGACACGACAAGCAAGCAATGATAAAATAAACCATGGTTGCTTGGCCTGTTGTCCAAAACAAGTTGTGATGGCCACTATGGCCTAATATGGTTGGTAACTACTATAATGCTCCGAAGTTTCTCCCTATCACAATTGTTTGTTGTGTTGTCCAAACTCAGACCCACTGCAGTACAAGCTCCAGAGCAAGAGATCAACTCAGCAAGAGCAACAAGTCAGCTTGGTGTAAGCTGTCAGAGGTTGTCTTGCTTCCTCCCTACTTCTGCCCCAGGGATCTTCTTTAGGGCAGCAGCTGATGACTGGCTGTGTGGGGTTGGAGGGGAATTTGGAGGGGAATTTGGAGGGGAATCTTTTCATGCAGAAGCAGGAAAGGGGAGAATCAGATGGGTGACAATGCTCCTAACCAGGGCAGCACCTCCCAGTTCCTTGCTCCCTCTCATTCATGAACAGGAAGTTGGAGCAAAACAATCATGATAACCCTAATAGTCTGTTGGGCACTCTGTGGCTGCTGGACACTTCATGGCAATCACTGTTGTGGGTTGTGCGAGTCCACTCAGGGTTGTGCAAACCCACTCAGTGTGGTTATTCTACCTTTGTTTTTTTTTAAAAAACAAACTTTTGGGCTTGGGTCTATAGAACTTACTGCCACAATTTTTAATATAACCACGAGTTAGAGCTCACCACTAGGGAATTCTGCCTCATTTATAAAGCATTTGAACTCTTGCTACTAGAATATATTCTATTAAAGGAAACTCAGTTGCCTAGCTCTTATGGCACTGCCATGGGATTGATACCACCATTAAAGGCTACCTTTCAAAATGACCAATAAAATAAGATCCCCGATAACAAATGATTTGCAAAAGTGAAAAAATGTCTCTCCTCAAATAATGTGTTCAGATTTGCTTAAAGGTTCTTAAATATGATTGCTTCCCATGTCTAAGCTAAGTCCTTCCCAGGTAATAGAATTACAGTAGCTCTGTAGATCAAATTGCCCTAAGGTCTACCTTGCAGATCTAACGATCCCCTCTGCCACCCATGGCTTCAAAATTTCCAGAAATTTTATATCTCTGGGCCAGAGGTTCATTGTTTTTGCCCTACAAGGTTATCTTCCTCTGCATGGGTTTCTTTATATAGCTGAATTGTTTTACTTGTTCATATAGAAGCATAGGCATAAATAATTGGATATAACAGCACCTATCATGCAGAGACCAAGGGTTCGGTTCAGTAATGGGGGGGGGGGGGCAAGCGTTAGACCATCCTGTAAACATTGTAAATGCTTGCAATCAAGTGGTGCCGAAAAGCATTAGTTCTTATCTCAGTACTATAATGAATTTCTAAATAAGAGAGAAATGGTTGAAGTATTCAGTCTAAACTGTCTCCAAGGGTTTATGCTCTCAGCCACAGCAAGGTCCTAGAAATTTAAGCTAGAAAAATTAGCATCAAAACAAGGAATTGATAAAAATGGTAAGTACCACAGGTTGTATACTTCAGGTATTAGGAATGTTAATGTAAAAGACTGAACAAAACTCAGGTCTGACTCATTGTTGTAATAACCCCTCCTAGGCAGAACTGCTACTTACAAAATAATCTTATTCTCATTGTTTCATTCCTGCTCATTTCACGGTAGCTTTTGCAATTACCACATGATGTGGTTTGTCCAAGGGGGGCTAATCCCATCTGAAAGGCCATCCATCTGACTAGAAGTACCATCACATATTTTTTAAACAAGCAAAGAAAATAATAGCCATAGGAAAAAAGATGCTAGACAACTTCCTCTACTATAAAGTTCAGCTACTAAAGCTAAATTCATGAAACACTGTTTATATACAAAGGATCCAACAGTAGATGCTACTCTTCAAAGCAAGTTTATCATCAGGGCCTTAGACTTGCCTTCATGACATTGAAGAGGACTTCTTGACCCAGACTGTCCTGTCCCTTAAAAAACTCATGCTCAGGGTATGTCCTGGCAATATCCCTCCTGATCAGCTTTTCACAAGGAGAAGACATCTTCAGCAACTCTGAATATTGATTCTTCACAGGCATGTCAGTGGCACTGCAGAGAAGCTGCCAAACTATAGCACGAAAGTGATGGGGGATTCCTTTTCTTATAAGCTCCTGAGGAAAACAAAGTAAAACAAGTCCCAAGCGACACTATAAGCAAGAACTCACAGTCTAAGTCCTTTTTACAATGTCACTTTATACCAAAATAGACAATTTTTAATCTTTGGCATGAGCCAAGAAGGACTTTGGACCCAGTGCAGCCAGTTCTATAATTATAAGCATGGAATATCAAAGGTCTGCTTAGCAAAGAGTCTCTGAATTTGACCTTTCTGGTGCATTCTGAAGTTCTTCCAGAAGTTTTGAAAAAAAGAATTTACGATTTCAATATTTCAACCAACTAAGGGGGAATTTCTGCTTTCCACCACAACAAACTTGTTCATTTTCCTCATCTCTACAAACTTGTTCTGTTATGTGCCATCAAATACTTCCTGATTTATGCTGACCCTTTGAATGAACCCTTTGAATACCCTGTTTTGACAGCCCTGCTCAGCTCATATAAATTCAAGGCTGTGGCTTCCTTTTTGGAGTCAATCCAGCTCATATTTGGTCTACTTCTGCCTTTGACTTCCCCTAGCATTATTGTCTTCTCCAATGAGTCTTGTCTTCTCATGATGTGCCCAAAGTAGGACAGCTCCAGTTTTGTCATTTTTGCTTCCAGGCCAATTTCTGGCTTGATTGGATCTAGGATCCACAGTTATCCTTGTGATGGTCCAAGGTTTTCATAAAGCTCTCTTTCAGCACCATGTTTTGAACACATCAATTTTCTTCCTGTCAGCTTTCTTCACTGTCCAGATTTCACATTCATATATCAGAAGCCAAACTTAATGCACTACAGTTTTGCACACATTCATTGTTAGTGCCAACTACACGGATGACACTTAAGAAAAAAATTATTTCCCTTTAATACTTTTTCCCCTGATCAAAATGTCGTGTTCTGTATTCTCCCTGCTTGTCAATGTTCTAGCCCAGTCTTCCCAAACTAGAATTCTCTAGTTATGGTAGATTACAGCTCCAATCATCTCTACTCATCACTGGCTGGGGAGGATGGGGAGTTGTAGGTTCAATGTATGCTGGGGAGGATAGGGAGTTGTAGATTCAATGTATGCTATTTTGCAAACTATGTCATGTTTGCAAAATAGTGATATATAGCTGGAAAAACAATTAAGGTTGCCCATTCAAGCATACCTTCCAAAAACAGTAATATGCTCATGTCATCATAGGCATGCCCACTGTTAGAAACAACTACTTCCCTTACCTTGAGCAATTTTTCCTTCTTTTTCCGCCATTCTTCCCATTCATTGACAATTCTCCCCCACAAGATCCAAGTATCCTCCTCAAGGTGGCTCAAATTGGAAGAGGCAGAAGAGCTGGAAACCAAAGAGGATCCACTGTTCCTTCGTGAGCCATTCATAGAGCGTAAAGATTTAGAATCTGCTTCCAGAAGCCTGCAAAATGCCATCTACAGTTAGTGTCATCTGTATCGGCTCCACAACAAGATTAGCCCCCAGAATATCACAGCTGCTCCAGCAACCAAACAGGCTTAACACATAAATGTTAATTAATTTCTTGATTTGGGGGAGGTAATCTCATACATACAGATTTCCTGCACAGAAGTGTGATTTCAGATGTTTTCTTGTACCTTGTGTCATGCCAGTACTGATGTGTCTTGTGTGATGTCAGAAGTGCTGGTATTGTACAAAGCACCTCCATATGTTTGATAAACACCAAAAGATCGAGCAATTCACAGGGTCATCATCATGCATATGAAACATAGAAAAACTTGTCCAGTTACAGAAGCCATTAATACAATTTAAACTGAGGTTGGGGGCAGTGTGAGGACACAGCATTTATTTAGATACTATTTTAACTTTAAGGGAGCATATACAGAGCTACCTTGACTCACGAACTTAATCTGTTCCAGGACTCTGGTCGTGATCCAAATTGGTTGTGAGCCAACCATAAATTTCCCCATAAGGTTCAATGTAAATAAGGTTAATCCATTCTGTAACTATTTTTTTTAATCAGAAAGATGTGAAGCAAAGTGAAAAAGAACAACAAAGATTGCAGCCATCTCCCCCTTCCCACACCAAGCATGAGTGCGGCCATCTCCCCGCCCCCCCCCAGCACGACTGTGATCACGCCCCTCATCCCTGCACGTGCCTGTCATCCCACTGGGGTGGGTGAAGACGGGCGCGCTCGGAAGGGAAAGACTGGCACAATCATGTTTGGAGGGGGAAGATGACCAAGACTGCGGTTGCGCTCATGCAGGAAAGAAAGGCACAATTACAGGCATGCTCCTGCAAGAAAGATGGGTGTGATCTCAGCCATCCCCCCTCCACCCCCAGGACAATCGCAGCCATCTCCCCACTCAGGGGGCTGGGGAGATGGCCACAATCGCAGTCGCCACCCAATATGGAGTTCACGACCTGAGTCAAAATTTTTATGAAATTTTTGTTCGCAACCCGATTTGGTCGTGAACTGAAGCGTTCGTGAGCTGAGGTACCACTGTAGTAATGGTTAATATTTTGGATTCATCCAATTTCCAACTTTAAATCCTTTCTTCAGGGATAAAGTGGTATCTGTATTCCACCAGAAGAGAGAATGTGTTACACATCTTTTTCAATTCAGTATCTACTTGGATATTCTATTTATCAACTTGATACCTTCCTGCAGCTTTTCAACAAATGTAGCATATTTAAAAAAAAAACTAATTTAAAAAGGCAAAATATACTTTTCAATTAAGAAAATAAGACCTCGATCACTATTTTATATTGTTAATTCATTTTATATTTTTAATGTATTACATTTTAATTGATGTTTTGTGAGCCGCCCCAAGGCTTCGGCGAATGGGCCAGCATAGAAATTTTCTAAATAAAATAAATAAATAAATAGCTCAGCAGAATTTAATTTCTCAGACTACTATAACTGGTCTTTTGTTTACTGTTCAACAAGATCCTATTGGCTTTTCACCCATTTTCCTCTTCTTTAATAATCACTGCTTAAGGACCTATGATAAAAATTAGTAAGGCAAATAAAACATATTTCAGACTAAGAAAACAGCATCAAGAGAGACAATAGTTCAAAGAACAAAACACAGGAAAACTTACTGAAAAAATCATTGCTCATTCTACTCAACATCTGGGGCTTACTATTACATATTAACCTGTAATAGAATACGCATTTGGTGCTATGATGCCACCACAAGACCATTTAGAAATGAAGCAGGATAGTCAGTTGAAGGGAACTAATTTATAGTTACTGCAACTGGCATGTCTACAGTTGGTCAGATGATCTAAGCAGCTGTTAACTTCTGGCATATTAAGGAATTGAAAGACAAATACAAAACAGGGTTATTTTCTGTCTACTTAGTTTGACACCCTCTTCTTGGATCTCATCTACTGGGACAAAAATTTTGACCTTAAGTAGGATGAAGCCTCACTTAGATAACATCCAATAACACCAGCATCTGAACAATGAAATGGTTAGAATACTTACATGTGTTAATTGGCTCTTACGTCAGACATATGTATATTTGTGTTAACTACCTATCACCACCACTCTTGGTTATGATTTGTGCTCTAACACGTACCCAGGATAATAACTACTACAAGGGAGCACATTTACTTTTGTGGAGCAATGAACACACAATCCTTAATCAAATGGAGAAACTCTCAGCTTCGACCACACAACATGTTATCATAACTGTCTTTTGATTTTTAAGAGACTCTAATATGCAATACTGTAGATATCCAGAAAGGCTGAAATGTTGCCCTAATAATCATATATTAGTGAATTCATTCATGTTCTTATGAAGGGATTGTTCAAAATGGTTCAAATAACATGCAAGCATACTATGGCTCACTTCAGTATGTAGGTCCAATAATAGCATTACAAGAGTTGAATAAAAGAAAGGGTGGCAGATGGGCTCATCATAGACTACAAAAGGACATTTTCCATTTAGTGGGACCAAATTGTTTTGTATTTATACTTGGATATACTTTGATTACTTTAAAGTAATCATTAAAATGATTACATTACATACATAAACTGCATATTTCTATGAATCACCCAACTAGTTTTTGTATTCAAAATGGACTTTTTCAAATGAAGTTAGATGTGTATGCATATCTGTTTAGCTAATTAGCCAGACTTCAAAGTTATTAAAGACTATCAGAGTCTGTTAAAAATTCCAAAATTTCACCTGCTTTTAAAAATTCCCAAATCTATATTCATGACATACCTTTAAAAGGCCACCACAATACGCAAGCTTTCACGACCTCTTCACTAGGCAAACAGTATCAAAAAGTAGTTTGGTAATGGAGGTGGACTTCATAGTGACATCACAGTACAGAACTCCTAGATGAAGTGGGGAGTGGTCTGCACATGATCACGATGGGTTCCACAGGTCATTAATGACTACAAGTTTGGGTCTATCCCTAGGGTTCCCAGGAACCAAATACAGAAAAATGTTTGCTTCCTCATCTTAGAAATATTACATCTAGCAGATTATCATATATCAGACCAAATTCCTTATGATAAAGGGTATCACACACTCGGATTAATTATGTCACCCTTTTTAGATAATCGTCTTGGGTATACAATTACCATAGGGAAATGGGATTAGGGTTAGGTCCATCAACTATGGCCTTACTTGGATGAGCAGAGTCTAGCAACGGTAACCCACGCTCTGGTAACCTCCCAATTGAACTATTGTAACACAATTTACATGGGGCTACCCTTGAAAATGGTCCGGTTATTTCAGTTGGTCCATACAGAGCAGCCAGACTTCTGACAGGAACTGGCAGGCGTAAGCATATAACACCAGTTCTGTACCATCTGCACTGGCTACCAACTGAAGTCCAGGCCCAATTTAAGGTGTTAACTTTGATGTATAAAGCCCACAATGGTTTAGGGCCTGGATATCAGTATATACCTGCTCAAGTCTTAAGATCTTCCTCCAAGGTCCTTCTTCAGGAACCCTCTTCTTTGAAGGAGATCAGAACAGCAGCTGCCTGGAGAAGGGCCTTTTCTGTGGTAGCACTCCAGCGCTGGAACCTGCTGTCCAGAGAGGTGCACCTGGTGCCAATGCTTTACTCATTTCGGCACCAGGCTAAAACCTTTTTATTTACCTGGTATTTTAAGATTTAATGGCATTTTAATGGTTAAGATTTTGTTATATGTTTGCATACTGAATTTTAATTGGGCTTCTGTGCAGTAAGCCATCTTGAGACCTGCTGGTACCAATGGGTTATAAATGTTTTAAATAAACAAACCTAGTTTAAAGCCATTGCTTCCTGTCAGCCTGAAACAGCAACAGAACAGCAAAGGGAATTCAGGGTTTCTCACCTGTTTTGTTCTTCCAGCTTTGCTAAAAGTTCTAGCTCATCTGGGCTCAAGTTCTCAGAATCAGAAGTGGGGGAGCATGCAGGCACAGAATTCACAGAAGAGAGTGCTTCATGGGATGAAGAGTCAGGGCTGATCGCTGGACTTGCCATTTCAGGCAGTTTGAGAGCAGCAGGGATATTCATTCAAAAAGTCCTCAGGCCGTATTTCCAGGAAGGCTGAAGTATCACCTGAAAGGAGGGAACACAGTATTAAAAGAAGCTGTTTCCTTTTTGCATCAACCCTAACATCAACATAAGAACTGCCCTGACAGATCAAACCAAGATCCTTCTAGTTCAGTACCATTCAGGGCATCTGCACATTACTCTAAAATAATTAAGACTAGGATTTTGTATATATTTGTATACTAATCTGTCTCTGAAGAATGAGAGAAGCATTTTAGTCTCCCAGTAATCCATGGGAGTTGAGAAATCATGAATTCCTCAGAGGATCTGAACTTGAGTGTTCTAGCCCAGCTTTGAACAACCCTAAGCAGTTGGGGTTCAGATTTACATATAAGAAGGGTTTATTGAAAAGACAAGTGAATTACTCCAAAAAGCTAGAATTTCAAAGGGTTTAGCAAGGAAGGCACTTAATTGCTTAGTGTAAACCTGCTGGCTGAGAGGCTCCTTTCAGTTGGAACAGATGGTCAGGTCAGTAAAGCCCTTTGAAAGTGTTTGGTGTCCAAACAACTCCACCCAAGGGAAAATGACTAGCCTTTATAGACTACTCATGAAGAAGGGGTTGGTTGTTGCACAGAGGAAGGGACAAAGTGATACACAATTAGCTGTTTACCTTATCAGCAAGCCCCAAATGTATACTATATGCAGCTTCCCATAATTGTATTCTAGGAAGGTTACCATCCTCCTTAGCTGACCTCAAGTCATAACACCTGAGGCTTTCCATCTATGTCAGTCAGGATTCTCATAACATACCACAGCAAAGGCCAATGAACTAAGCATGGAACAAAACATAAGCTCATTAAGCTAATCATAACACCAAACAGAAGCTTGTTAATTGGTCCAATAAGGTGGGATTCCAGGCCAAACACAGCTACATGTTTAGTCCTTTGGCCATCTCTCCCATGGCCTCTGGAAAACACCTAGTGAGCAGTAACTCTAGAACATGTGTTTCTATTTATGCCAAGCAAGGCCTAATAGTTTCCAAGGCTCGAGAGCCAGGCACTGATTCTTACAGTTCAGGCCAAATTCATTACGTTTCCAAATAATAAGCCAAAACACTTCCCTAATAGGTAAGACACAACATGAAACTCCTAAATTTTGTCTTACAGAATTATCAGGTTAGCCAAGAGTTATCTATTGCTTTTCTGCTATGACAGCATAATCAAATCTGTATTAGGCTCTTTTCTGCAACATCCTGTTTCTTCTGTAACACTACAACAAAAGCACTAGGAGGGCAGGACACGCGAAGCTCAGGGAGCCAAGGTTCCATTTAGATGCCAGGAAGCACTTCCTGACAGTTTAGGACCCTGACGGTATGGAATGGGCTTCCACAGGAGGTGGTTGAGGCCCCATCGGTGCGGGTGTTCAAGGATAGGCTGGACGTTCACATGGTGTGCGGAGCCAGTTGGAGCCGGGGGTCAGACTAGATGGCCCGTGAGTCCCCTTCTAACTTGCTATGTTTCTATGTCTTCTTAAAAAAATCTAAATATCAAGCTTCCCTTAAAATAGCCAGATAAACATTCAATGATTGAATAGTACACTAGTCTCACAGTTAACCTCTGAACTGTTTCCAAACTTCTTTCAAATTAAGATAAAGAAGGCTTTTCTACGCAAATGAAAAACAGATTGCATCATTTCTCAAATATTTACATTGTATCTGTCAACATAAGTATCTTATTATCATACAATAAAATAAACTGCATTTCACCTGTAACTATCAGATCTCACTATGGCTATTTCATTTTCATTTGCTATTTCACCTTTGAGATGCCGGACCAAACAAAGTGAAACCCAAAGAGAATAGGAAACAAAATTGTTTAGTGTGCAACCTCCTTTATTACCAGGAATAACCTCAAACTTTTATCCCTGCTGGTCCTAAGTAAGATCCAATATAGAAATATTTCAAAGACATTCTTCCTGCAGGCAAAAATAAAAGCAAACACAATATAAACAGTCTGAACAATGGATACAAGGTTTGATTTAAGAATAAAATAGCATAAATTAAACTCTAAATTCTTGAGGGAAAAAAGGTCAAGTCAATATGTTTTAGTAGTCACATTAGTATCACTGATGCATCATATATTTTTAAACAATGAAAATCTTGATTTAAACTTGGGATCCTAATCCAGTCTTGACTTCTACCCCCGTCTCCATTGCTTCTCTCCCAGCTTTTTAGTGGTTCCCCAGCTTTTATGAAGTTTCTACTCCCATTCTAGAAGGATGTAAGCTACAATATTCCAGTATTTTATCATTTGATTTTATCATTCTAAACAACCTGGTTGCGCAATAGACAAATATAATATATAAAGAGCTGGGTCTACCCCCTACCTTTGGTCCTGCTCCCCTTTGTTTTTAGCCAGCTGTTGCAGGAATACAGCTTCTCTGTAACGGATTTTGGCCTTTGGAAAGATTTGACAACACTGTGGTACTGGAGAAACATTATGGGAAACCTGAGTGGTAATTAATAAGAATATCACATGAACACTTTACTTTGCATCTGTCTCTTTGGCGTTCAGCCCCATCCACCACTGGAATGCAGCCCCAAGTGTTTCGCCTATATGGAATTCAACTCTCAGACTAAAAGCTGTTCAACAACCATCTGAAGCACAAGCAGAGAACTGTCTCCCTATTCCTTTGAAAATGGGAAAACAGTATCTTTATCTTCTACTGGGACATGAAAAAAATAAGCCCGCACAACACAGTATCTGCCTGTCCACATCTATATGCTGCAAGGCTTAAAAGTACATCAAATGCAGTTCTGAAGCCTTCTGAAGTTGCCCATACCAGGCTCCAATTATGTGTTAAACAGCTGTCACAGTAAAATCCACAGAGGCATGTGACTACAACAGGGGTCCTCAGAGGCACCATTTGGTAGGAGGAACACTTTATTTCTGAAGCACACATGGCTAGCTTTATCACCCCATAGTCTAAGCCAGGAAAGAGATCTTGGGATCATGGTGGATAGCTCAGTGAAATAAAGACAGTATTCAGCAGCTATGAAAAAGAAATTCCATGCTAGGAATTACTAGAAAAGGGATTGAAATATTCCCAATAACTTAGTCCCTTTTACAAATCTATGGAATAGCCATATTTGGAACACTACATATAGTTACAGTGGTTCATTTCAAAAAGGCCATTGTAAAATTGGAAAAAGGTGTAAAAAACATATAGAAGGGAAACTAAATGATCGAACACATTGTCCTAGTAAAAAGAATAAAATAGAGCTTTAGTTTAGATAAAAATTTAACTACACGACATGTGATTGAGCATTGTAGAGGGAAGGAGCTAGATTAGATTAACTTTAGTTAGTTCCTGCAGGTTCTTAAATTCATTCCATAATTCAGCCTTCCCCAGCTTGGTACCCTCCAGATGTTTTGAGTTGAGCTCCTACCCAGCCCAGGCAGCATGACCAATTATCAGGAAGGTTGGGGAGGGCTGTAATGCCAAGCATTTGGTGGATACCATGTTGGGGAATGTTGGTATAAAGTTCAAATTTATTCACAGATCTTCTCTGAGTAATCATATTTGGTAATTTAAGGTATAATTGTTTGATCAAATACCTAAGTTGAGAACATTTATTAGGACTATGTAAAAATATAGGAATAAAGACTTCATTTCTTGCTCAGTTCTTCCTGTCTCTGCTACATTTCCTGATTTCTTAAACAAAGGATAAGATTTCTTTTCTGTACCTACCTTTTAAGTTCTAACTGCAAGTACGTTAGATGTCTGCCTTACTTCCTTAGTTCATAGACCATTTGTAAGAAATCTGCTCAAAGAAAAATATATACTTGTATATAGTCTTTCTTTGGACTTTTCTGTTTAAGCATATGGGGTGAAGTGACATTAGTTTTGCTCAGGTACGGATGGGTATTAATTAGCAGAAGTATGTCATGTATACCCTGCTTCAAAGAAAATGAAGGAAGTTGAGGTACTTTGGTTGTAATCGCTTAATGCAAGGAGCAAAATTCTAGATGTGATGCTAGTAAATAAAATGTTCCTTTTAAAATCCATTATTTCCATATGGTTTCTACAAGGGGTGCTTGGTTAACAAATGGGGTCAGTAACTGGGTACAAAAATAAGTTGGTATGACAGACTCATAAGTCACAATATCCCTAGTTGCTTGACATTATCCAGCCTTTCATTCTTAAGTGAACTTATGTTAGAAGCTAACTTGTCTAACTGCAATATTTGAATAACACTAGCATTTATTATTATCTAACCCAAAAAAGCTATTCACAAACTCCCCAATACAAAAAAGAAATACAAGCATGAAAAATTCTCTTTAGTGATACAGGGTAAACTGTAGAGAGTTTATGTAAGAAATTCAAGGTTACAAATGTCTGTTATATAGTTCAGAGATTATACCATTTTTACTTTTGTGTTAGCCTTTGGGAACAATGCAACTACCACATCCTGATTTTGATGTCAAATTATTACCAGTGTGAGTGCAAATTAGAATCCCCAATCACTTTGCTGTTGAATTATTCAGTAGTTTCCATTAGATCCAAACAACTGCAATAGCTAGCTAGCATATACACACACACTCCTCTTACCTGGGAGAAAATAGCTTCAGGTAAAACTATAAACTATGGATCTCAAATGTTTTACCAAAAACAGGATGTACTGAAAAAATGCTCTAATTTGACAACACAGGTCTACACAGAACAGAAATACACACTGAACATATTACAATTCATACAAAAAGCTGCACTGATTTTCTTATGGATTACATTCCTACATTCCTGATGGATGGTTGCAGATCAAGTATCTTTGGGAGGTATATGACATCAAGAGTTGGTCTAAGTCCATTCCTAAACACATGGCCTAGAGAAGGAAAGCAGTTTCATAAGAAAAGTGTAAGAAGACAGCAGCTGTCATTCATGTTGTTTGGACGTAGCATTCTCAGCCGCTTCAGCTAGCCTCCAAATATAATTACTGAATACATAAATATATATTTAGTATTGGACATAAGGAAGCATTTTTAAAATGCTCTTTCTTGCTTCAATTT